ACACCATGACTTGCACTGACTTGGAAACATCATTGTTAAAAGTACAAGAATGAGAGCAACATTTCTGTCACTAACTCTCAGCTGCTTAAGCCAAGGCCCTTGTCATCATGAAACAGTCAAGATTTCATTACGTTGAATATTTTTATTGTCATGGTCCCCAAAGTTTGAAAGTACCAATGAATTTACTTTTTTATCTCAGATTGTTCGGATGTTCGTCACTGAAAAGAGTCCAAGAGTTTGTTGATGAACTGTGATTCAGCATCTAAGCGATTCATAAACATGTTGTCATTAGGACGGTAATAATTATGGGGGTGATTACCGCCAAAATAAGATGTTGTATTATGCTATTCTATTAGGATCTTTTAGACTCCACAATTGATGTTATGTCCTCTCCATTTGGCATTGTAAATTCCATTCGTCCATTCTCTATTTTGTTATATATTTACACATTATTCTATTATGTATTGTATTTTGCTATTCCAACACGGCATTTTAGACTTTTGTGGTGATGTTTTGCTCTTTTAATTTGTGTTTGGCTATGTAAAGTTCTGTATCCTATTGTGCAGTTCTACATTCTATTATGCCAATCATCCAAGATTGGGTGACTTTCGAAATTTTTGTATTCTGTTTTGCGTTCCCGCATTATGATGTTTCATCTTGTGAATCGAAGTTGTATTATGCGTACGTCACATTGGGCATGGCACTCACTGGACAAAAATTAGACGAGCAGGGAAATGGTTATCGTTCTCAGCCACGCTCCCATTTCTGCTATCCGCTGTCAAAATGGTGGACAATGTTGATAAGACGGATAGATAAGAAGACGAGAATTGGTCAAGGTTTAAAACTTTCGTAGTTACTAAAACAAGGAATGACCTACAATGACCAAACGAGGGGACCTGAAAATACGCTTAAGATCCCTATAATAAGCTAAAATGAAGATTTTAGAAAAAGACAAAAAAAAAAGATCGGGGACATGAGTGCATAAACGTATTGGATTAGTCTACTGCATGACAGCCCAAATGATGACAGCATCTCTAATTATTACGCTTGGAGATAAATTTACAGTGTAATAATACATGTATGATGATAATGAAAACCATCCCTTGCAACCTTTCCCGTTAGTTACAAATTAAACAAACACAGTTACCCTAACAGTCGATCCGGGGGGGTCTTCAAGGGAAGTTTGGATATAGATGAACAAACGAGGCCTTCAAATTCTGACCATGTATAAGAGAAAAATTGTTTATTTAAGTACCCTGGCCTGTATAAGACATCATAAGACCCTTTACCGGTAAGTGGCTTCCGGTCCAACAAGATACTCTGTTTGTAACGCTGAATAGTAAAATCCATATCCTGCTCAGCGGCCCATACCCATCTAGGCCAACTAAGGGAGTGCCTGGATGACTTCTGTCAATACAGGGTATAATAGTGTAACCGGTAAAAACACGATTGCAATAATTTATTTTCAAGTTTCTCAAGTTACCTGAGATCAGGCTTTATTTTTGTTTTGCCTTTTCAAAATGTGCTTGGCAATTTAGGCCATGAGCCTAGTGCCACGTCCAAGCTTGACACATGACAAACAGCATTGTCTGTCATTTTGTAGCTCATTGTAGGGCTTATTTTAACTCATTTTAGCTCGTAGCAGCTCATAGTAGTTCATTGTAGGTCATTCCTTGTTTTAGTAACTACATTAAAACTTTTAAGGGAGGCAAAAGAGTTACTTTCTGGTTCCTTAAGCCATAATATTCCTCTGGTTAACAGTATATCCATTCCTAATCCAAACAGAAGTGAGAGATTTGCCTCCAATCTTCGTGCGCTTTTCAGTGCAAACGATGATGGCCCTGTTAGTACTTGATGTCCTGCTCCACAAAGTAGAAATTAGTCCGCCAAAAACGAAAGGAAGGCATGCTTCCGTGTTTTTCAAGCCTCAGGAAACATGAACACATGAATTTCCATGTCTGTCATACTATAGGCAAGAGGTTGTTTTGTTTTTTTATTTCGTGCCCTCAACAAACTTTGAAGAGAAAATAGAGGGTCTGTAACCAGGCTAAAATGGAAGCTAGAATGTACTCTTTCGTCAACAATTCCAGCATCAAAACAGCCGAGTATAACTCTATACAGACAATCTAGTCAGTATTGCACGTGATCCACGGTGTCCGACTCTGCCTCAAAATATTGAATACGTTGTGAAGATGGTTTCTGGCTGCAACATGACAGTCAACATAGTCCGCCTATTTAACAGCGGATGGCAGGAAATGGCAGCGTGGTTGAGAACGACACCCATTCCCGCTGCGCAGCCGTCTAATTTTTGTCTACTGAGTGCTATGCAGGATATGGCAAAAGCATAATACAACTTCGATTCACATGATGAAACAGATCACAATACGGGAACGCAAAACAGAAGACAAAAATTCAGAAAGTAACCCAATCTTGGATGATAACATATAGAAGTGCATAATAGAATGTAGAATTGCACAATAGCATACAGAACTTTACACCACCAAAAAGAAAGGGCAAAACATCACCACAGAAGCTAAAACGTCATGTTAGAATAGCAGAATACAATATCTAATATTGTCAAGTGGAAGTACATAATAGAATGTGTAAATACATAACAAAAGATAGAGTGAACGAATGGAATTTACAGTGCCAAATAGAGAGGACATAACACCAATAATTCTGGAGTCTAAAAGATCATAATAGAATACCATAATACAACATCTGATAATCACCTCATAAATAATACATAAATGTGTCATGAATTGCATTAATCTACAGCAGTATTTAAGTGTAATAATAATTGTCACATCACCTACACTGCAGTTACAGAACCTCTTACATATATACTCCACATAAACTGTAAGCCTCGTGTATGTTTTTTTCCTTTTTTCTTTCTTCCCAGTTTAGAATGTTCTTGAGGAACATAATGAAGACTTATTTTCGGTGAGTCATGTAAAATAGTATTTATAATCATGTAAGGATCCTCTCTTTATCTGACTAGGCATTTGAGTGAACTCAGTGTTGTCACTAAGAGTTCAAATTGCCGGGAAAATACAACAAGTAGGCGGGGAATCAAACAACTAGAGATTTCTTTTGGTTCTATTTTTCTTCTATTTTCCATTAAAAATAGCCGGGGGTCACACTCATAGTAGCCACGGGAAATCCCTGGCCCCCCGGTTCTTAATCACAACCCTGTGAACTGATTAACGTACAAACAATTTTACTCGTTGATGGTGATAGAAGTTCATGTTACAACAGTAGTCTCCCTCCAAGTCATTATTATTAATTTAGACTAGCAAACAAAATGATTGTTATAATTCAATAAAATAATTATACTTACCTTGATACCCCTATTGAAGATACATACTTAGCAACAATTAAGTTCTAACTTAGCTCTACTTGAAAAAATCTGACAGTCTGCCACAATTTCTCATGAGTGAATAGTTGACGAGGTGAAAAAGCTGTTTTAGTTAACAATCACACTTGCTTTGGCGCTAAACTTGAGGGGTTCAACCGAACCCCCCTCCCCCTCCCCCCAGTACTGGATCTGCCCCAGCTCTTAGAATTTCCAATAACCTTCCTTGGTGGGGCCATGGATATTTTATGGAACCAGTGAAAAAATAAAATCAAAGTCTAATTTTTTAAAAGTTTACTTTTAAATTTTATTTCTTTCTGAACAGAAACTGTGAAAATGAAAACCGGAGGAAAACTTACAAAGCTGCAAAAACAATTGGCAGACAAGAAGGTTCCAAAGTCTGGGTGATCAACGAGTCTGTTCAGAACACCAGTAAAGGTGACATTGTCCCAGAGAAAGGCAAGGAGTTTGTGTGGATAGATCACCTCTTTGATGACAATGTAAAGACTCAGAAGGTCATCTATCCATTCACACCACAAGCCTTAAATGGTGTTTTGCACGGATTAATGGAGACCCTACAAGGGAAGTTCATAGCATCTCTTTTAGCAGTGGGTAGGTTTATAATGTTTAAAACAAAATTTTCAATATCAATTTTTGTCAGCTGCTTGCATCTGTAACTATCAGTTTAAGGTCATTCCCCTTAACAAGTTTTTTTAAAGCTTTTATTCATCCACTCAAACATTTAATAACTTAACAACATATCACGCAATTAACTATCCATAAAATTAGGCACATTGTGCTGTATCAGAGAACAACTACAGTGCATGCACCTGCACCTCAAAACACATGAGTATATAGAACTTTTTACACGGTTGTCAGCAATTAAAATGTTACTAGGGATTTCAAACGTAGGGTCTGGAAGTCAAATGATTGTTTGCCATTATGATTGTTGGAAGTACTACCATCTACAAACAAGGAAGAAAGTAATGGCATAATGTACCTTTTTTTCCTTTATTTTTTTTCTGCAGCTGGCAGTACATTAGGCCTCCACTATGAATCAATTATAGAAGCAGGCCAACATTTTCCAATCCCAGTTATTTGTGGTGAACACAGACTGTGTGAAACAAAAACTGCTAGAGTAGCTCTCCATCTGATGGACAACAGAAGCACAGGAGCGTTTTATTCCACGTCTTTGCTCCAGGTCAACCTTTCCTCCTGTGTTGGATGGAGGCAAGGATGACACCTGTAGCCGTGAAATGTCACTGAAGACTTGTCCAGTGGTAACAGTAAACTGAGAAGCTCTGGAGGGGCTTCCTCAGGATTATAGGCATGCTAAATATAAACGCAATTAAGTTCCATATCCAACAGGTTTAAATATTCAAACCAATTACTACTGGCATTTCAACTAATACCGGTCACATAATGTATTGAGCCAATCATCTGAAAGTTGATAATGCAGTCATGAAATTTTGTAATTTACATAATTAAACGTTCATAATACATTATGCTGAAATTATATATTTTACACTGCTCTACAGACGCCCTCTTCCAACAGACACACTATATTGTGGTCTTCAGAAATTAAAAGAAAAACAAACTAATATCGTTAAGTTTTCAACAGGATTGCCAGCCAATTGTAATCCCC